CGGCGAAGGGCGGCTGGCCGGGGCGTCGGGGCCCTTTTCCCGGGGAGCGGGGGGGGCGGGCAGGGGCTTTCTGCCAGTCCCCGGCCTGCAAATGCTGCGGCTGTTTCCCGGCTAATTTAGTTAACTGAGTAATTGCGGGATTTCGGGCGGGGTGAGAGGGAACCGTCACTGGAAAGAGCTTGTGGATGGATGGTCGTGAGGCCGCTCCCTTGAGGTGCTCTGGGAGCGTAAAATACGGTCCGGAAAATGAATCGTAGACCCAAGGGCAAAGAGGGAGCTTGAGGAGCACATGCCAGGGTGAGATAGCCAGCCAAGAGCCTGGGGAGGAAGGAGGGGATCGCTGATGGGCATCTGGAGGCAAGCCCTAGTGCCTGGTGCTGGACTCTCTGGCCACTTTGCAGGGCCAGGGCTGGCGGCTCCAGCTAGTAAGGTGTTGGGGTTGCCTGTGTTCTGTGGTCGTCGTTATTTGAAATGTCATTCATTGAGAAGAGAAGAGACAGGGAGCTCACAGCTGGAGACATGGTTGTGTTAAGAAGGCTTGTTTAGGTAGTGCTGTGGGAGCTTCTCATAAATGCAGTGAGGCCACCTGGTGCCATGCCAGTGTTTTGTGGAATGAAAATGTGCCACATGCGCTCAGCATATCATTTTTAAATCTTCATTTGAAAACCTGTGCATGGCAAGCATAGTATTACTCCTTGAGCAGGAGCTGTATTGTCTTACATAGGAGAAGATTTGAAATATATTTACTGAGATGTATTTTGTTTGCATAACTCGAGACTTAGTCTTTGGAAAGAGTGCAACTGAGACAAAAAAGCTATCGTTGTTTCTTCCTGCTTCTCCCTCAACCCTCTGGTTATTCCTTCTGTCATTCTTTGAATTATTGCATAATTCTCTGATGTGCTAAAGAGATCATTTCAGCTGTAACCAACCTTTCAATCCTGTAATTGAACCAAAAATTTCAAAATCTATTATTGTCTGTAATATGATAATATAAACAATCACCATTTTGAAGGTCAGATCTAGAATTTTGAAATCAGAACCTTCCACCTCTCATCAACAGGCTTAAAACGTACCTGAAGACATAATTGTGTGTCTTGGATCATTATGCTTACCAAGTGTATGAATGTACTTAGGTTCTCAGGTTCTTTTAATTTGAACAGCTCTTTAATAAGCATGTGTAACGAAGTGCCTTGTAGTGGTAGTGTTCTATACTGGCTCTAGTGACTAAAGCAAATGAATGTCTTGGATATTCTGAGGAATTAGAAGTGCAGTTAATTTTTTTCAGTATTAGTGTGCTGTATATTTTCTCCACCTACCCATCCATATTTAAATCTTTTGTTATGAACAGGGGCTTTTCAAGGCAGGATCATTAGGGCCTTCCGTTAGGGCAATTGTACTGATGTTTTCCTAATATAGTGGGATTCTTAACCTCACAAGGGCTTTTTAACATCATCACGGCATAAATTATGATAAAATATGTTTCATAAATGTTTCTATGATATACCCTACTTATTTGAACTGCCCTATTTGTAGTAAAATTTAATAGGCTATCAAGATGAATAATAATTGAGAAGTATTTTGTGTATATGTGTGTGTGTATATATATATTTATATATATTTTACTACCAAAGGAAACTGAAGCTTTACTAACTGGAAGGGAAAAAAAATTACTTTTTTTTTCCTCTGCCTTTTCTAGGGTCTTTCTGTAATGCCGGCAACAGATGCTATAAGGCTGCTAGTGATGGCTACGTACTTTTCTTCTTTATTGCTGAAAGGGGCTGAAGCATTTAGACCGAGTCGGCTGATCAGGCCAAACAACACAATATCATATTAGTCAATATAACAGCAAAAGTGGTCTCCGTTGGAGAAAATGGTAAGAACTGTTTTCACATTGTGACATAAGTATTTGTCCTATAAATGTGTCAGCTGTTTTGTCTGCCTGACATAGTCGTAGTCATGTGGCAAATAGTGTAATTAGTTATCAGGTGTTTAAGATACATGTTGCGAATAGTAAAACTATTGTTTAAAAAATGTACTGTCAAAAGTTTTTTGTGAAATTTTATTTATACAAGAAAAGATAACTACTCTTAAATTGTGTGCTGTGTTATTTTTAAGAACAAGTCTGCATACATGGCTTTTCCATAGAACTGGTTGCTAAATATAGTTTCTGGGGCATTTGTGATTTGCCCCAGAAAATTAAAACTCCATCCCAACCAGACCCAGTACGCTGTCTCACTCTGGGTTGTGATCATGCTGAGTCATGTAAACCAGGCACTTCTGAGCTACTGGTAATCACATAATTGGAAACCTTGACAGTGAATCCACAAGCAGGAAGACTGACAGTTGGTATTGATGAGGTGTGTAATATTCTTCCCTCCTAGTCAACATTAGACTGATGTCTCAGGACATACTGGTAGAAATGGGTCTACAGCTGGAATAATAAATTGAATGCTGTACTTAGAGAAGTCAGTATGAGTTTTGCTTCTGTTTTCACATAGCAATGATCTTGCATCTTAGTTTTCCTATGGATTTCAAGTCCTTACATCCTTTGGACATAAAAATGGAGCAGTATTGTTAATACAGAAGAACATATACAGTCCAGGAACACTGGATACTTCAGAAAATGTTTTTTATATATGCTGCTTATATTTCATGAAGGGTATTTGAACTGTGTATCCAAATTTTGTTTGGTTCCCTGAAATGCCTCCTCTTTTTTCTTTTTTTTTTTTTTTTTTAAATTTCTAAACCTGTGCCTAAGTTCTGCAAATACTTGCATAATGTCTTTTTAGCTCCAAGTCTGGGACTAGGCCTGTTGCCACTTTTTGCCATACATGATGTTAATTATTTTCTTTGGAGACAGTGTGTTAGCTTGTAACCTCCAGATTAAGGGCTGGGGATGAATTCCAAATCTTATTAGTAAAACTTTATTTCTCTCCATGTGTTGTTGATTCTTTTTCAGTCATCCACAGAGCTGTATAAATACCAACATGGGTAACCATAATTTAAAGGTAAAAATCTCAGCACTGACTTTCCTAAAATGAAACATATCTTTGAGTTTTATATCAATTGAGGTTTCAGAAGTTTTACTTCAGTTCCAGGCTGCTTAGGGAAATTCTTCATGGTGTAAGAAATTCAAGCTTTAATCCTTAGGATTACTTTTTTGAGAATACTGTTTCTTCTTTTGTAGTGTTACATAAAATACAGGCTGTAAATAGCTGTCTAATGGTCCCAGAGCTCTCAGAACAGCCCCAGAAAGTCTTACCAAAGACATTCTGTTGATCGTTACATTCTCAACTTTTGCTCTGTCATCTTACTAGAAACTTTACAAGATAAATAAATTGGAACATGAAGTCAGTACATATCTAGAGTAATGCAATTCTGAATAGGGAAAGTAACCAAGATATATCTAAATATATGCCAGATATATAGCTGATAGCTGAAGAAACAGATTTCCGCTAAAGGGGTGTGTGTGTACATACATATACACACATTCCATGTAGAAGCCAGAAGACTGGACACTTCCGTGTCTCAAAAATACAAGGTCCCTCAAAAAGATGTGTAACATGGACTAAATCCAAGGAGCAGGATGTTCTACAGTGTAGCCATTACAGTATTTCAGTGTAGTATTACTCATCTTTCTGGCTCTGACGCCCAAGACAGAGCTTCTTTTATTCTTGGCAAGTGTCAACTGTCTCTTTTGACCTCAGAGACTAGTGCCATTCTCTGACATTATGTACCGTTCCTCAGAATGTCATCATGGCTTTGGGCACTCAGGACTTCTCCTTGAACTCGTGTGAACGTGCGATTGGAGTAGGATAGTCACGCCACTGACCTTCAGATGTTTTAACTTGGGCTTCCTGTAGAGCCAGTGGCAAGAAATGCTCAGAACAGTTTCAGGCCCAAGTTAAATTCTTGTTCTAGAAGTGCAGTTATGCCACATGGTACAGCTAAGGAATATAACCATAACCCGAATTGCCCTCTGGAGGAACCTTGCTTTCTTCACTAGCCTCTTAGTTTAGATATCAAAATTAATGTCTAGTATTGGGTGGCACAGTTATCCTACAGCATGATAAAAGGGCAAGGAATGAACATTTAGCAAACAAATTTCTTAACCCGTGACTTATCTTTAAAGGACTTGAAAATAATGGCTTTTTGACAATAGCAAATGGCCCAGGGCATTTGCTGTTTTGGTCTGAAGTCATCTTTTTTTTTTCTTTTATTTCTTTTTTTCATGTTTCTTTTTTCCTTTTCTTTTCTTTTTGCTTATATTTTATTAGTATTTCAGGCTGGGCATTGCCCATCCTGTAGGAAAAACAGAAGGCAGGGAGCTTAATACACACTAGACATCTTCCCTGCATAGAATGAAGTCATACTCCAGAAAAGAAGAGCCTGTATTTGTGCCATGCAGTCGGACTACAGTGCTCTTTGCAGTCCTTGAGGAGAAAAACAGTCTTCTTCCCTGAAAGTGGACCAGCAGATGAAAGGTGATGAAAACTCATGAAGTCTCAGCTGCTTCTCAAAGGGTGGATTAATGAACAGCTAATTTTTTAAACACATTCTTATACCATTATTTTCAGCCAAATCAGCAAGTAGATCTATGTGACCAAACAGGTGCTGGGACAGCAGAAGAGCAGACAGAAATGCTGGTGGGACAAAAGGGCAGTGCTGCTTCTCTTCTGTTAGGCAGTCCTAGATTGGCTAAATTGCTTGTGAAGTCGCATCTTTGGCAGTTTTTCAGCAAGGAGTCAAATAGGCAGGTGGCTGGCTGGATTGCAGTCTTAGGGCATATCCAGACTTGCAGAGTTAAGAGTATTTCCAAACGTAATTCCACATACAGTTCTCAGTTTGATGTTGCCCTGCCTGATGTTGTCACAACATGCTGCAGCCAAGGATAAGCAGAGTTTTGGAACAGACCAGATTACCCTACTGAAAATTTGCTCACAGCTGAAATCTGAAGAAATGGAAAGGTTTCCACTGAAATGATGAGTGTTACCAAGCACTGGCTGATCTGACCCTCTGTAGTCAGAATACACCCCATTTTGCAAAAACGGAGATGTAAGCAGTGAAATTCCATTGTTAGTAATTCAGTTTTGTGCATCTGAATTTCCCTTTGCTGTTTCAACAGATTATAGGATCTGACTGCAGTTCCAGTCAGGTGCTTTTGTGTAGTGTTGCCAAGTACTGACATACTGCCACGTTTCACCATGTATGTGGGTGCACTGAAGAATACACACACATTTATAAAGCACCATAAGATCTTTCTGGCTGAAGGGCATTATAAAAAGAAGGTAATTATTCCAACAATAAATCCAAATATTCTATATAAAGCAGATTTTGGCATTGTGAAAAGAACAAAAACATGGAACAATTTAGAGGTAAGGAGGAATCCTTTTATTTTGAGGATAATATTAGCATAAAGTTAGAAATTAGTCATTCTCTAACTCATTTCTAACTGTGTGACTCATGCTCTTGGCAAATTAATTATCCAAGATAAGTCACTCAGATGCTAAAGTTTTATTATTGTTTTAATCAGATGGCTATTTCTGTTACAAATAAACATGAGGCTTGATTTCAGATAAAACAAATGTAGCTATACCCTGAAAATTATGCCACAGTGCTGCTTGAGGATGTGTTACACATGCCAAATGTTTTTATCTGATATTTTGTTTTCAGTTTTAGGTGGATGGTGTAGCTAGCTACTGGGTGTCTAAAGCAGCCATGGCCACCAAGAACCTCAGCAGTGAACTTGGACAAGGAAAATCTAATGTGGTGTGTATTTCCTTCCATCCAGGAACTGTGATTTATTAAAGCCTCATCACAGGAACATTCTTATGAATAAACTTTTCACCTCAGAATTCTTAATAAATTGTTTGATAAATATTGTTGAGACCATTAATATGGGGATGATGGGAAGATCCATGCCATCTTTGCTTGGGACAGATATAGTACCATATTGTTGGCTGTAACCCTCTCTCTTTGTTTTGTTTCTTTTTCTCTCCCCACCCTCCCCCTTCTTCGGCTGCAGTTTGTAAGGTAGCATCACGGTGCAGGTCTGATCTGATGAAACCACAACTAATGCTGATGCCTGCCTATGATGGGAAGAGAACACAGACCACAAACTTGGGATTTCTGGCCTCTTATTAGGCAAGTCTGTTGCTCATCTTCCCCTTTCGCCCCCAGTTCCCTTTGTTCCTGTCCTTCCTCTGTATCATTAACTCATTGAAGTTCAGTGTCACTGGTTGCTGGGAATCTACTTTCATTTGGCTATACATACACTCTTCCCTAAAGAAGTCAGATGTTACCTCCATGTTGGATGTTTATCATCCAATGAAAATATGGAACACAGTTTTATTGTAATAGCTCTGAATGATTTTCAGCTGAAGTAATGAAGAGGAAAGTCTGGTGCATTTTAGTGAGATGTTCATGTTTCTCAACTATGATTCTTAAATTGGGAGTTTAAGTTTCTAGTAACATTAGAAATTATTCATGTTCATTGCAGATACCTATACATCCTTATTCTTAAAAAGTAGGCTATTTGCTAGTATAGCTGAAATTATTCCTGTACTGAGACAGGAGAATGTCTTAAGAAGACTGCATTGAGTAGTAGTTTCTGTTCTCTTTATTTTGTTCAGTTGTAAATGTAGTAGACAACAGATGAAATAACTGTTGACGTAGACAGTAACACAAATTATGTCAAACAAGGACTTCAAACAGCATGTTTTAGGTCAGTAACCTGTGTGCCTAGAACTTCGATGACACTGATAACAGCCAAATGTCATAACTTATGTGGATGTACATGCAAAGATAAACAGGTAGCTTTTCACTGAATTTTACAAGCAGAACAGCAAAATGTCAGTGAAGTGAAAATATATGTTTCTAATAGGCTCAAGGAGCTTCAACAAAGGAAGCTAATACTGATAAGTTAATTTGGTGAAACTGCAAGCAAGGCGGGTTTTTTGCTTGCTTGTTTGATTTTAAACCTAAAGGGATCCTGTTTTCAATATGCAGCTTGAAAGAGCAGTCTTTCCAAGGCCCTACCATATGAAATGGAAGACAGCATGTTCTGTCTGATGAAATGCAAGTTTGGCTGCTAATCAGCCAATCCAAAGCATTGCTAGATTAATAGCCAATTTTGCTGAGAATACAACTTCTGGGGAACTGAAGCTGTTTCTTGAATCTATGACTGGCTGAGAAAAACAGGAATTCCTTTTAAGAAAATTAAGATATTCTGAAGTTTTTCAAACAGAAGTCTTTCAGACTTCATTTCAGCACTAAGCCTGCCTAGGCAAATAAGTTAAAAATCTGAGAATGACTCTGGAATACTGCAACTAAATTTTCCAGCTGGGGGACATGGGTATTTTAGTTTCTGTTTTGGGTCAAACTGATCCAAATATGGGTTTCAGTTTGGAGGTGAGACCTGTCTGCAAATCCTTTCTCAGCTCTCTCACTACTTTATGTTTTAGCATTGTTGCTTTTGTTTCTTTAAATGGGAGGTGAGAAGAGCAGTTTTCACAGTTTGTGAAGTGTCTGAAGATCTGTGGGTACAGAGCACTACATAAGTGCAAAGTATTTAAATTCAGAACTATGTTATGTGTTCTTCCTTTTTCCTTATGCCAGTCTGCTGTGACTGAAATCAATCTGCTTATAATCAAATTTAAACTTGGTTGGTGAATAGGGGTGGAGAGTTGGTGGGGTTTTTTGTTTTAACCACAGACCTTCTAGTTCACTGAAACTAGGGTTCCAGCCTGATTTCTCTCTGCAGGAAAGAGATTTTAAAAATTTTTTTTAAATGTTTTCATTGATTAGGTAATCTTTACTAATCCTATGAAAACAGTCATAATGTGTCCATCCACTGCTGTTTGCATTTGCTTCAGAATGTGAGAATTAATCTGCTCTAAAAATGACTTGGTTTATGTATGCATTGTTTAGTTAATATGTTCTGGGAGAATCTAAGGTCTGAAAATTGGCAATAAGAAGGAGGTCGTAAGTCAGACAGCTTTTCTTGGTTTAAGATTTTAGGTCATGCATATCAATTCCAGTTTATACTAGATTGCAGTTATGCCTGTGAATGGAGACTAGATCATGTCATGTAATTTGTGGGGGTTCTCTTACTTGCAATCCATGACCACTGATGCCTCATAACTAATGCAGCAGTATTTTCCTCATACCTTCATCTAATGGGGTAGCTGTACCTTTCTTTCTGGCCTGTGTGCTGCTTTTTTTTTTTTTTTTTTTTTTTTTTTTCCCTTCCCCTTTCCTTCTAAGAAGAAATGGAATGAAGATAAGATACATGTCTCCTTTGGTATTTTAAGGACATTTTATAAATGGAGGAAAAGCAAATCAATTGGTGCTTGCTACTTGTAGAGCAGTCAGGCAAAAAGTATGAGAGATTGACATCTTAGCCCTATCAGTTCTGTTTTCAGTGGATATACAGAGGTTTTGTAAACAAAAAAGGTATCTTTGTCTCCTGTTGTACAAGAGATACACAGTGCTTTTGTTTTCTCTTCCCATGTGTGAAATGGCTGGCACCAAAAGTAACTCTGTAGCTTCTTTACCTGACTTCCATGTCAAAATTAAGGATAAATACAACAAATGTGATTAGCAGTGTTCATGAGATCAAGGAGTCTGATTTACCATTTTGGGTTAAAAAGAACACTTGTGTATAATTAGGACTTTATATCTGAGTGTCAAAATAATGCTTTGGTCCCAAGGTGTTCAGCCATATGTTACAAGGTAATAGAAAATCTTTTGTGCTCCCTGGTACTTGGCATATATGTTTCTTACACCCTTTCAGGTTAATCATTGATTCAAAGAACTTGTTTTGATGACCCAGATGGTCTCTTTGAGTCTTAAATTCCCATTAGACCAAGTGTGTGTTTGTATTAGTTATGTTTTATTGCAAGAAAGCAAATATTTTGGTGACACTAAGGTTCCTGCAGTGAAATGCAAGTTGCCCTCTATGCAGGAGAGACCCTGGATGTTACTTTCTATTGTATTTTTTTCACAATGTATCTAATGAGAAGACAGAAGTCTCTAATTATAGTCCTGGCGTTTTTTTGTGTGTATGTAGTTTGTATGGACCATGTGAAAACCTGAAAGCTCTAAATTAGCCACTTGAACAAAAAATGCATTGCACAGAACAGACTATTCACTGTAATACTTACTCTGAAAGGTCACCAGTCCCAGAAATATCAGAGCATGTAACTATGGCAAACTAACCCAATGTTAGCATAATGTTTGGTTGTTTCCCTTCTTTGTTACTAGGTAGTTGAAGTCTTTAGGAACAAATTTGTCATTTATAGCACAGCCCCTTCCTACACAAAGACTCTCATTCTTTGCAAACATGGATTAAAAAAAGATATTTTTGGAAAGACTAGCATTTGATTTTTATTGTCTGTGGTTTCAGCTTAATCTTACGAGGACATATTAAATGGTTTGTTCAGCATCAAAAACCTAAGCAAATCTTTGGTTTATCTATCTGAAAGCAAAGTCCTATTGTTCAAGTACTAAAGTTTAACTCCAGATTAGTTTTGGTGTTTGGACTTAACCCTGTGCTTAAATGCTCTTTCAGACATACACTTCCTTGCTACTCAGGGTGGTTGAGGAGAAATACCAAAGGTGTGTTGTGTTTCCTTTTTGTACTGATTCCCATCTGTGGACTAGTTTGGAAGAAGGAAGATAAAAGCTCTGTGTCCTTTCTACCTCTGATGGACACTGTGTTTTCCCTCCTGGGTTAGAGGAGTAAGCCAGTTTTGTCTAGTTTGGAGGTATGTATGTCTAGCTAGAATAGTTCAAAAAGATGCCTTTTTTTCTTTTCCACATACAGGCATAGGAAGTCTGATTCCCTGTTGTCACCTGATTTGTAATCATTAATATCCATGGGAATTTCATGTCAGCATTTAAGCTCTGGGAATACAGACCAATGCAAGTAAAAAATCTCGGTGCAGCTGAGTATTGATAGGAGAACCAGTTTCTCCTACTCTTCAGATGTGGCAGTGCTGAATGAGGAAGAGAGAGTCTTTTGTAATTATCAGCCATTCTGTTGTTGTCTTTCAAAGAGCTTGTTTTGAAACTGTCACTTCCCTCCTGATGGCATTATGAGGAACCATATAAAAATGCTGAGTTAAAAAAAAAAGTGATGACATTCAATCAAGCAAAACCAGTATGTATACATACATGAGGGTAATTGTCTATGGAGGAGCAGTCAGGAGCAAAGGCCATTGTTTTCTCTACCAAATGCTCTGCCACTTGTTGCAATCATTTTTTTTATGATGATGAACAGTATTTCTCAATCAGTGGGTTGTGAACTTGCATGTTTTCCAATTACATTTTGTATATTTAAGTTTGATAGTTAAAGATAAGCAGCAGTACACTGAGCCAAATACTTAGGTATGAGGTAGAGTGGATGGGGGCAAAGGAGAGTGTATTTAAAATGAGATTTTTAGCTTATTTACATACCTAATAGTTTGAATCTATTACCTGGTTTTTCCTTTTTTTACAAACTCTCTGCAGAATAGAAACTATAACATGGAAAAAAGAGGATTCATCTCCAAAACCTACTTTATCTTTGCTGGCTTGTACTCCTAAGCAATAATGAAGGACTAGATTTTAAATCTTTACTAATTTGGGGGGGGTTATTTGAAATGTCTGAACTAAGGCACTGAAGGCTTTTGTTTCCTATAAAAGATGGGCACCAACAGCTCTGCCAGGGATCAGTTAAAGTTGTGGGGAGCAAATGCACCTGCAAATTAAGTTGTAATTGTCTAGTTGGACACAGAGAAACAGAGATATTGGCAGGGAAAGATTTGAAAGAAGGTTCTCACTGTTTTGTGACTGCTGCCTGCTTTTTTTTGGTTGGAATGAAAGAGAGCAACCACAGTCTCTAACCTCATCTCAGAACTGCCAGAGGATAACTGTAGAAACTCCTTGGGCCACTGCAAAGTCTGGCCACAGGGATGGGCAGGCTGGTAATATCAGACTACACCTATGTACTCTTCTGACTGTTATTCCCTAGTCTTGGCTGTTGTTGTTAGATATCTAAGTCATGTCCTAGTCCAGACAACTGTTTCCAGGTAGCATTGATACTGCCTTGCTTGGACACTCAGCTTGGCGTTTGGGCCAGAAGATCTATCTATGCCCTATTT